TCTAAAAAATTCTGTTCCGTGAGAATATGAATAAAATCCTTGCCGGAATGGCACTGCATGTGGAATTTATTGTACATATATTCCCTGACGTTTCGGGTCATCCGCTTTCACAGGTTGACATAATACAAATGCGCATTGATGTTTTATTATTGTTTTCACATGATGTTCTTTACGATGTTACCTTGTAATAAATTTTCGTATGTTAAACTGAATTCTCGCATAAAAGATGCAACTTTCTCCCTGAAATATTTCAGTTTATGGGAGATCTTTTGATTCCATGGCTGAAAACACCGCAATATAAGAAAAATAATTTTCTGGCACGCCTTCATTGAAACTCTGGTAATGGAAAATGACAATGCTGTCTGAAACTTCAGTCGCCCAGTAATTTTTCTGTAGTTTTTTTGTCACCAACCATGAAATCGAAGGCTTTCTATTGGTGAAACTGTTTTCGCGTGTTAGTTTTTTTTAAAATCAAGTAAGTGTCGACTAATGCGGTACTTTAATCTGATTTAACGGGCAGCTTTAACGACATGAGATGAGGGAGGAAATGTGGTTTTGTAGAAACTCATTCGAGTTATCACTGATCGGATGCATGGATTTTCGTGTTAGTTGCTTATTACTTTCTGCAACCGGGTGGGAGATGGTTAACCAACTTTTAATTTTTTAATCAGGTGAGAGATTTTTGTGGCGTTCTGTTTACGGCCGCCGTTTACCTTGAAATAACATTGAGATAGCTGACTAAAATCGGTATACAATGTAATCCGTACAGGAATTTCAGTATCATTTTAATGGCATGTTTTCAGTGCTTTATACGTTGTTGGTCTGCGTTTAAAGACGAGTTTTAGGAGGCACATTCTTACGCTGAGGACAATGGACTTCTGTTTATGGAAACCTCAGCCAAAACGGCTATGAACGTTAACGACGTGTTTCTGGCCATAGGTAAACAGTTATTGTCGCATCCGTTTTTTGCTCTTTGTTTAAAAGTCGTGGAAAGAATGTTTCTGCCGTTTTTTGTGACTTTTTGACGTTTAGCGATGTTTATGCTATCTTGATTCCTGATTTGTCTATTTTTCGTTCTCAGCTTTAGCCCCTCTAAAAATAGTAGCCTGCTCTATTTTCTTTCAGCATTATATTTTAATGTTTTTTTTGTTATTCTCTCTTTCGGAGGGGACAGAATTTAGGCAACAGAGTAACCCAGATTTACGATGTGTGACCTTAGAAGTGATATTTGAAGTGGATATTAAACAATATTCTTTTCTGCAGAAAAGCGTATATTCCTCTTCACAAGCAAGTCTGCCTCAGCGAGGTGTATCCACGTTTTGTGTTGTTCTCCAATGCGTCGTTCTTAAGTGAGAATCGTTTTCCATACACAGTAGAGCGTCGATAATCCGGAATAACTGTGGTGTGATCCATCAGGATTATCGGCTTATGTGGATTTTCGAATCCCAAGGCGAACATGGTGTCTTCAGTTCTGTAAATCAAATATACATTAATAATGTGAAAATATAAATATAGCGTGCAATAACTATTTTATTGAAGAACTAAAAAGAATCAAATGAAAAAACTACACTAGCCAGAACCTACAAAATATGCCTACAGCACTGTATTTTAAATCGCATAAAGTATTTTAATTATTAATGGTAAAAGTCTTTCATTGTTTTTTGAACAAGATTTTTAGCAGCGAAGTCTCTAATTCCTCGTAGATGGGCACCATGAGTTGGTTTGCACTCCAGTTGTTTTTCTCACCGACTCATAGCAGTCTCCAATATATTAAAAGCGTCAGCGTGAGTCGGCCTGGCAAATTCTTCGTCTTTTGTCGACGTCTTCAGCATCGTCATCATCTGCAAGAGTCTCGATATTGGTTTCAGCGTTAATAATCTCCTCATCATTCAAGATCTTATAGCCGAGGTCAGATTTGTCGATCTCCAGCCAGTCGATCGCTTCGTCTTTTTCACAATCTTCAGAACCTGGTACTGAGTCTAGAAGTGCCGTAACTTCTTCCAAGACTGACGTCGCTTCATTTTCTCGT